GAGACATCGATCAGCTGCCTCCTGCACATTCCCCACTGGGGATGTGCCCGCAACCAAGGTACATGCCCTTGACCGGAATCGAACCTGGGACCCTTGAGTCCGCAGGCGGATGCTCTATCCACTGAGCCAAACCGGCTAGGGCTAAACCCATTTTTTAAGGCATGAATACAATGTATGGAAGATTATTTCTTCAGCTACTGGATGCAAATATTGTAATCACAACCACCAATGCTAAAGAAAAATTTTCATTTTTTCCATGTGACTTCCTAAATTCTACAACTGCAAATAGGTATGGTAACACAGAAACATTAACAGTTTAAAAATCATGTCTGTTTACTTGGTTACACGTAAATAAGTTCTAAATATTTTTAGAGGGCTTTTGCCTAAAACCTCTTTCTGAGAGGCTCTTTACACTAAGGGCACCAGAAAGCGCTGATAAGAAAGCTGTACTTCCCTAGAGCAACATGGTCTACAAGTTTAGAACTTCTGGTTACTTGGCTTTGCCTGAATAAACCCCAATCCCAGTCACCACTTAAAGTTAGAAGAGAACGTAAGACATTATATACCTCCCGGAAATCACCCAGCTATTTCCAAATTTTTGCTGAAAAGAAATCTTAGTCTATTTTTTGGCCTCCTTTAATTCCTGGTCTCAATAGTACTAAAGTTGCCTGGTAGTGAATCTAAAGAACTGTGGTGTATGACTTTTCACTAAATGACTAGCTGATTCACTTTCAATAGATTGCATCCAGAAATGCAGTATATGCAGTATACAGAAATGCTTGTCTATGTACTTGCTTTGTATCTTTTGGCAGCTTTCACCAATCATACCTCAGGTCTTTTGTGTACAGAGAAGATGCAAAAAGTAAAAGAGAAAATTTGTTCTTATAATTTTTTAAATCCAAAGTGCTCTAGTTTGATATAGACTTTGGGTAGTATCCTGTTTCAATTATGGAAACCTGGGAATCTTGCCAGGACCCAAGACTTGATTCTCAATGAATCAGTCTTAACTCACCTGGAAGAGATCCTGACAAAGAACTTGGGTGTGGCACATAACCAAGGGGCACAGAAGCTGGTCCATGAACTACGTAGTCATTAGTCATGGTTTCTCCATCTCCCTTCATACGTGGACACAACATCCTCTGGCAAATAAAGTATATGGTTCCAGACACAAAAATAGTGACAATTACTCCAATAACTGAACCAACTGTATTGGTGGCCTGTGGTGCTGGCTCCTCGGTTGGATCTAAAATGATAAGGCAGTACAGTTATATAATGAAAGACAACTGTAGAGTCAAAGTAGTAATCAAAAAGAGGGCTTGCGAGCAGAGTGGGAAGCTAATGAAGACAACTTATAAACACTTTTCTTTTTTATGAACACATATACACCATGCCCCATGGATTATGGATAAATGTTATCATTAAGAATCAAAGGAACCATCCTTAAGTGAAAACAAAAATAAAACAAAACATTGGGAACCATACTGTAAATGATTTTTAAAAAATTAAGTGAATTATAGTTAACCTCCATTAAGAAGTTTTAAATACATATACATATAAAAATCTATCATAATTTATTCTGTATATACTAAAAATCAACAAACTTATTTTAGAATCTTAGAACAAATTTTAGGGCCAGAAGGGATGAATCTAAAAAAGTCATTAAATGACCTGGAATGGTGAAGCCAAAAGCAAGCCTGGGCTGGATTTTAGGTTTGAAAAGTGACATGTAGGCCTGGTGACAGGAAACTGGGGGCTAAAGATGAGCATTAGCTCTCAGGCCCAATGAGCTGATGCCTTCAGGGTGAGTCTTGCTGCCTGAGGGCAAGGAACAGGCCTCTGATACAGGAGTACTTGAGGACTCAGAAAGAAAGCCAGGGCCTGAGAGCACTGGAGCAAGACCCTGCCCTTGGCATCCACCTGCTCCATATGAGGCTTTAGAAGCAGAGACATCAATATTAGAGGTAGAGGGAAAGAGCAAAAGGGCTCATCCGATTTAGAGCATTACTCTTCAATTTAGAAGGAAAATCATTCCATTCTGAATGGTCAGACTTTATCGCTCACAACTGCAAATCCTTTAAAAACCTTCCTTCTGTTTGTCTGACCTCAAACACCCATCCACATAGCTAAACTCACCCTCTGATAGATTAAATAAAATAAATGAGAGAAAATAACATTACTGTTACACAATACATAGGGGCTGCCAGTTACATATTTCATCTATGGCATGTGAGGCAGATTCTTAGTCCCGTGAGCAACCATCTCATCTTTCTTCTTCCTTTCTAGTGCCTTGACATTCCTTCCTAATGCCAAGCTTAAGAAGAATACTTTACACTCACTATCTCCAATTCTTAAAGTCTCTGGGTCATATCTTGACTCACTGAAATCAGGCTCTTATCCTCACCACCACACTGCAACTAGTCTGGCAAAGATCAACATTCTCCTATTTGCCACACTCAATGAACCCTTCACCTCACTGGCCCCTCTATATTCTCAATGCTGCTGGCTCTAGTTTTCCTCAAAAATGTCTGATCAATATCCTTCCAAGATACCACTCTCTTAGTTTCACTATCTCAGATTACTCTTTCTGTTTCCTTTTGTTGGCTTCATTCTCTTCTGTCTGCCTCCTCAGGTGGTTCCCAGAGTTCTGTCTACCCCTACTATTTTCCACCTCTATTTAACTCTCCCTGGGAGATTTCATCCACTGACTCTGCTTTAATTATCATTAATAAACTGAAGAGCCCAAATCTCTCTCTTGAGCTACAGACCCATACAGTCAACAACTTCCTGAAAAACTTCATGGGCGACTTGAATGCAACACATTCAAAGTGAACTCTCTGTCACCAGCATCTGTCATGTTTCCTAGATGCCAGGGGTAAAGCAGATCATAAAACAAATGAGGTGCTCTTGGCAAATTAAAGGCATTTAAATTAAATTAAAAATAAATTTTAAAAAACCTACATCAGCCAAACATTACATCTGCAGCCAAGATATGGTACCTCAGTTTACAGTCCCTGTGATATATTCTAGTTAATGACTCCAGTACTTCAATGAGGTATCTGTGTGTCAACCTAAACTTATCAACTATATCTAAATGGTTACCAAACCTTTTTTTATTTCAGAAATAACTCTGAAATCTATCTTTCCACCACCACTGCTCCTCTTGATTTAGATCTTCATCATCTTCTGCCTGAACTATAATAGTCTCCTAAGCATTTTTAAATTACAGGCTTCAAGTTACTAGATAGTGAAAACAATTTAGTGGGATGCAAATAGAATTTTAAAACAGAAAACGTCAGAATGCATTCTACATACTATGGATAAATACTGTTGTATGACATATTTGTTTATGTGTGCACCCATGTCTTTGTATCCTCTTGATTTGGTCAAAAAAGTTTGACAGCAACCAGCCTAACATTTCCCTTCCTATAATCTTATCACCTCCAATCCACCTGCTTTACAGCTTTCCCAATTACACAGCCATGCCATCCTTTATAAGTTGTTCAATGACTCTTCATTATGCTGGAGATAATGTTTAGGCTCTTCAGAAGAAAATAAAAATCCCCTATCATCTTACCTATGTTATCTCTTGCCAACACCCCCATGTATTTTGGCAGTCCCATTTACATGCAGTTTCCCAAAGGTGCCTATTTCACTCTGTGTCTGAATAGGATACTTCCAATTTCTAGAATGTAATCTTTCCATTCACCTGCATAATTAACGCTATTCATTGATCAACACCCTATAACTTCAGCCTATACCATTTTTCTCAAGTCTTCTTTGATGAGTTGCATCTTCACTCTTAAAGAAGTGACCACTCTCTCCTTTGTGCTACTACTTGTAGAAATCTATTATAGCACATTTGATATCACTTATCGCACACCTTTATCAATAGTACCGCCTTTGATTCAGGCCATATGTTTTATACACATTACATCATTTAATTTTCTCACAACCTCTAGGCTAAATATTATCTTCACTCCGAGGACGAAGAAGCTAAGGTTTAACAAGAATAAGTAATGTGCTTGTAAGAGGTTGAGCTAGAATTCAATTTCATCTCCACCTAGCTTTAAAAGTCCTAATCTTACTATTACCTCAACCATAGAGGACTTTGAGCAACTTGGTACAGGTACCCTATATCCTGAGCACATAGCAGGTATCCAGAAAATGTTAATGAATAAACGAATAGATTCTACAAGTCTTAGTAAGTATCCCATTTGAATTTGTAAAAATATCAGCTTAAAGTCTTTATTAAGATTAAAGAGTTTTAAAACCAGACCTATCTAAATTCCATTAAACCAGTTTTGACAGGATAGACCTGGCTTATGCTGAACTGCATTCAGAACTAAGTTTACCACTTTGGAATATATTATATGTTCAGGCACTGGTCAATAGTTATGAACCTTGAAGAAACTATAGGCTATTCAGCCTACATTCTCTAGGTCTGTAAGTATATGTTGGCATAAATGTCCTTAACCTTTTTTTTTTTACTGTCCTTTTTAAAAATTACTTTTAAAAAGTTGATTTTTAGAGACAGAAACATCAATGTGAAAGTGCTACATCGATCAGCTGCCTTCTGCATGTCCCCTACCGGGGATCAAACCTGCAACCCAGGCATACCCGACCCAGCAACCTCATGGTGCATGGTACAATGCCCCACCAACTGAGCCACACTGGCCAGGGCACTGTCTTTTTTTTTTTAATTGATTTGAGAGGGGAAGAGGGGGGAGACAAACATTGCTTCTTTGTTCCACTTACTTATGCATTCACTGTTTGATTCTTGTTTGTGCCCTGACCGGGGATTGAACCCACAACCTTGGCGTATCAGGACAACACTTTAACCAACTGAGCTACCCAGCCAGGGAAAGAAAGCTCTTAAAATCACTGACATACTGGTGGAATTGTATCAAGAAAAAAATGGGAGATGTTAAATATGAACTAATGTTCAGAAACTCTTAAATTTAGACTACTGATTGAGTTCCACATATCTACAAGCATTTCTCGTTTTAGTATGCTTCACAGATTGTGTTTTTTTACAAATTGAAGGTATGTAGCAACCCGGTGACAAAAAAGTCTATCAGTGCCATTTTCCAACAAGATCAGATGACAGTTAGCATTTTCTTAGCAGTAAACTTTTTAAATTAAATATGTACACTGTTTTTTTAAGACATAATGCCATTGAACTTAATAGACTACATTATAGTTTAAGTAAACTTTTATATGCAGTGTAAACAAAAAAATTAGTTTGACTCATTTTATTGCAATATTCGCTTTATTGCAGTGGTCTGGATCCAAACCCGCAATATCTCCATGGTATGCCTATAAATTGTTTCAGAATTTCTTAACTTTAGTTGTGGCTAAACAATATTTATTATTTTCTAATGCTTTACACTAAATGTTTCTGTGAAGAATTTTTGTGCATAAGAAAACTGCTGTCTTTTGAGGACTTATTAAAAGCAAAACATGCTTACCATTAATAGTTGTTTCTTAGTAAGGAACTAGTGATTATAAGTAAAACTCACACATAAGGAAAAGGAAAATATACTATTAAAATTCTCCCTAAAGAGTAATATGCAGGTTTTAGTCCTACTTACAACAATCCAGTTCATCTGATTTGTCACTGCAATCCACATTATGATCACATTTCTTATGTTTTCCAATGCACTGACCATTGGCACAGCGGAACTGATCAATTAAACAAAGCACTGGGAAAAAAGGCAAATAGTTTTCTTATTTTTACTATATTGTGAGGCCAAATACTAGCAAGTCAAAAACTACTTTGTGGGTGCAAATGAAAACAAATTAGACTTTTAGATATATCTTAAAAATTATTCTCAGGAGATTTTCCTTGAGAGAGGGAAAAGGCAATCCAGCAGGAAATTTCCTATTTTGTTCTTTATGTTAAATTTCATCATTCACTAATAATTCTGTTAAGAATTAAAGAATTCTACATGCATTTCTAGACACTAAAGAATTCCAAATTTTTGTTTGTTTTATACCATGTTAAAGGTTAGTGGAGGAAAGAGAGTAATAAAATTATTTTACACTGAAATAAATAAGTTCACGAATTCAGAGTTTGTTGGGAACAAGTACTATTTTTACCTACTAAAGTTCTTTTGGCCTCATTCCTCTGTTAAGCTTTTTAATAGGTTTCAGAGAGGAAGGGAGAGGGAGAAGAGAGAAAAACATCAATGATGACAGAGAATCATTGATCAGCTGCAGGTCCCACACTGGGGTTCGAGCCTACAACCCAGGCATGTGCCCTTGTCAGGAATTGAACCCAGGACCCTTCAGTCTGCAGGCTGACATTCTATCCACTGAGCCAAACCAGCTAGGGATCTGTTAAGCTTATTGATGTGTATAAATCTTATGCATATTAAGTTAATTAAAACAATAATTTGGAACATGTTACTGTATTTATTTATTTTTATTACATTTATTGGGGTGACATTTGTCAACATGAACATATAGCTTTCCAGTGTGGGTTTCTGGTTACAAGATCTGCATATTGCATCATGTGCTCACTACCCAAAATCAAATCTTCTCCTGTCACCATATATTAGTACTCAACTATGTTTAGACATAATAAAGTCAAATGTACTTGAAAATCCCCAATCTACCACTGAGCCAAAGCAACACTCCATTCTGAATTGCAAACAACTTAATGGAAAAAGGACTATATAAAAAGGTCTTAAAATTTTTAGATACCTTCACAGTTCTTCTCGTCTGATTTATCCTGGCAGTTTGCATCTCCATTGCATCTGAGGGCACCATCAATACACTGTCCACTGGCACACTGGAACTGGGACTCTGAGCATACAGGACAATTGAGTTCATCACTGTGGTCTTCACATTCAGTAAACCCATCACACCGCCAAGCCACAGGGATACAATCAATTTCTCCCGTGAAACAAGTAAACTGCTGAGGAGAACATGTTGGGGGCTCTTCAATGAACAAGGGGGGGAGGAGAGTGACAAAAACAAAATAATTGTCACGCAGAGGTAACATACCTGAGCGAAGCTCATTTAATAGTCAACATATACAATCTTTTGCAGTCCAAGCAGAATGCTTCACAGCTGCTACTCAACACGATATTTTTTTTTAAACTTAGAAAAGTTAGAATAAGAGAGTCTTATAAAACCATCTTCTCAATGGTTTTTTGAGTGTATAAGCTCTTTCAATCTTTGTTCACAGAAATATATATTTTATAGTAGAAAACAATGATTTGGGGGGCTACATTTTTCTATCAGTTTATAATCATAATGTTTAATAGCTGTATCAACTCAGTTATGTAATAATTTTCCTAACATTAGAAATCAGATTATTTTTAAATTTCTGTCACTGTAGACAACAATCTTTCTCTTTCATTTGAATTAAAGTTACAGAACATGTTAATTGGCATTTAGACCTGCACAGGAAAATGATAACATATTTACCTCCACATGATAGTTCATCTTGAAGCAGAACCAAGTGCATGGGGCAAGAGCACCTTGTAGTACCATCTCCTTTTACAAGACAAATATGTGAACAGCCACCATTATCCTGAGCACAAGGGTGCTGTCCTGCAAAAAAAAAAAAAGTAAAGAAGGAAGGAAGAAAGAGAGGGAGGGAGGAAAGACAGCCAGGTCAAAATCAATCGTTTATGAATTACCAAGGACTTTTTTACCACACATATATAATTCCTTGCTCCATCCCTACACAATCTATAAGAAAATGAGGACAACAAAACACTGTTTTTATATATGCTATAATAAATAGGTAATATGCAAATTAACCCTCACGCCCTCTGCCTCTGACCAGGCAGCAAGGGGGTTAGTGAGGGACGACCAAATGACTGAACAGCAGGCTGCGTGGGGCAACCAGGCCAGCAGGAGGGTTAGTGAGGGACGACCAAACGACTGAACAAGCAGGATGTGTGGGGTGACCAGGCCGGCAGGGGGATTAGTCAGGGACGACCAAACGACAGAACAGCAGGCTGCGTGGGGTGACCAGGCCAGCAGGGGGGCAGTTGGGGGTGACCAGGCCGGTGGGTGGGAGCAGTAAGGGGTGAACAGGCCGGCAGCTGGGGGGGGGGCAGTTAGGAGCAACTAGGCCAGCAGGGAGAGGGCAGTTGGGGTCGACCTGGCCGGCAGCGGGGGGCAGTTAAGGGTGACCAAGCCAGGGATCAGGCCTAAACCGGCAGTCAGACATCCCCCCGAGGGGTCCCAGATTGGAGAGGGTGCAGGCTGGGCTAAGTGGACCCCACCCCCCTGTGCACAAATTTCATGCACCGGGCCTCTAGTTTATAAATAAAATATCTTAAAGTATTTTAAGCAAGGTAATGATACAGCTCATGTTAATTTTGTGACTAAGAAAAGCTGATTACTGAAACTAAAAAAATGTGTAGGAAGAATGATGAGACTATAAAAACTCTTCTAAACTACAGATTTTAACTCAGAAATTCTAACTTTCTAAAAAAGATGATTTTACTCAAAAAGTATATATTAATAAAGAATCCACTGAAAAAACTTAAATTCACATGGAACTCAACCAATCAGAAAAATCAAAATTACTTGTTTAGTCAATTGCAAAAGGTAACCTGCAATGTGCCCTGGCTGGAGTGGCTCAGTTGGTTGAGCATCATCCCATACACCAAAAGGTGGCAGGTTTGATTACCAGTCAGGGCACATGCCAGAGTTTCGACTCCAGCCTCAGTAGGGGGCCTGCAGGAGGCAGACCAATTATTGTTTCTCTATCACATCCATGTTTCTCTCTCTCCTCCTCTTCCTTCCTCTCTCTCTAAAATCAATAATAATAATTTTTAAAAAGATAACCTGCAATGTTACAAATGTTTAATTTCCTCATATTTGTGCTAAATGAAATAAATACACCATCTGGCAACTATTTGAAGTCTGTCTGACAGGTTGTATTCAATGAAATCATTGCTATGAATTTTCTACTTAGCTTGTGTTAAAAGTAACTGGACATTTGCCATCACAGAATACCAACATCTGATGTTGACACCCATTTGTTATCTGACTTTTCACTAACACATCCGTCCTGTTTTGGTGAGTGTTGATGAACTTAAGGGAGTCAGCTATCTACCAATGAGCAGTGTGTTATATGACATCAATGTCCCAAAACAGACATCAGTCATTAGATTAGGATACATAACCAATACGGCAGTGTTTCTCAACCTTTTAATTCCATGGCACTTTTGATAAAAATCTCATTCTCTTTAATGTTCTTAGAAATTTGAAAAAAAATGTTTTTCCAAATATAAAACCATATTTAAATGTTCACTTATTTATAAAAAAGATACCAAACCCCCTGGAAATTCTGAAAACCTCAATTGAGATCTTATATCAACTGAATAACTTAGGCACTGTGTCATTACTACCTTATTCCTATTAAATGTTCTGCATGAGTTACATATCATAACAGAGAATGGCAACAATTCTAACTTTCTAATTCTTAAATACCTCTAAACTTAACTTCCAAGTTCATAAACAGTGACAAAATAATGAGGACTTGAACAAGCAATGGTGCTCTCATTCCTCTATTCTCCTTTCATATTACAATTTGATTTAAAGGCATTGTGCTGAGAAGGAGTTTTAATAGTTCGTTCTCTCTTCTTCTCCTCCCCTCCCCTCCCCTCCCCTCCTCTTCTCTTCTCCCTCTGTGTCTGTCTGTCTGTCTGTCTCTCTCTCTCTCTCTCTCTCTCTCTCTCTCTCTCCTCTCACTCAAGGGTATTTTCCCCATTCATTTTGAGAGACAGAGAAACAGACAAGAGAGACAGACAGACAGACAGACATCAAAGTGAGAGACACATCGATAGGTTGCCTCTTGCACATGCCTCACCCGAGGCCAGGGATCAAACCTGCAACCCAGGTACGTGTCCTTGATGGGGGGTTGAACCCGATACCCTTCAGTACGCTGGTCCATGCTCTAAACATTGAGCACACAGGCCAGAGCTCAAAACTACAATCATGTAAGACCTATAGTAATTATTGCTATGAAGGTATTTTTGATTACAGACACCTATTAACAAGGAAATAGTCCAAGATGATCAGCCATTTTGGTGTTTTCAGTAAGATAAAAAGAATATTTATGGCTACTTTTTTAAAGCTCAGAGTTGAAAACTTTATCCAAGAGGGGAAAAAACCAAGCACTTATTAGAGCACAGTATTTCAAGTTTACCTACAGATTTTAGCTTGCTTTTGCTCAAGATAAAGTTATTTCATTATAACTATATCCATCATTATATAACTTTTGCTTTAGTTTGAACTATGGGGTATACAAAGAATGAAATATATGTTTTATATTAGTATTCTTAAAGGGGCTGAAGGAGAGAAAGAAAGGGCATCACAAGCAGAGTGTCTGTTGTACCTGAGAAAATTTTTGAAAATGAGCAAGACCATTCCATTCCCCCATTCCTATTTTATGGAGAAAAAGATTAAGCTTAATTTAAAAAGCTCCCAGATGAATTTAATATAAGGCTGTAAAAGCACAAAGTTAGCCCTAACCGGTTTGCTCAGTGGCTAGAGCATCGGCTCTCAGACTGAAGGGTCCTGGGTTCAATTCCAGTCAAGGGCATGTACCTTGATTGCAGGCTCGATCCCTGACCCCAGTTGGGGTGCATGGGGGAGGCAACTAATCGAAGTGTCTCTCTCACCTTGATGTTTCTCTCTTTGTTTCTCCCCTTCCTTCCACTCTCTCTAAAAATCAATAGAAAAAATATCTTTGGGTGGGGATTAAAAATAAATAAATAATAAATGTTTTAAAAAAGGCAAAACTGAAAGTACATGTTTATCTTCAAGATAAAGTGGTAAGACGACACAAAAGAACATCTAATTATTATCTTAACTTCTTACAACAAACAGAAATCCTACAATGAGCAGTACATCCTCAGCACTTACGATATTCCTGAAGGTTCAGCTCCTTTACGGCATGAATGTCACTAAGCTGGGCTATTCGAGCCTGCACTTTGGTTCTACCCTCTCGACCTGTCATGTCAATTTTTTCAATCATTTGCTGCTGCTTATCAATCCAATAGAGCCAATTTTCAAACACAGTCAGTCCCACGGGCTGCAAGATATTGGAGTCTTCTAATACTATCCGGTTGGCACCTTGGAAAAAAGAACATTCACCAGAAATAATTCATGTGGGCTAAGTCATACATTCAACAATTATTTATTGAAAAAATCAGATTCTAAAAGTTCTGAAAAGGAAAATATAAACTCTCTACCACAAAACTTCAGAATCATTCTTTGAAGATATATACATACTAGAAGATAGATAACAGACTAGACATTCAAGTGCAATCAAGAGCAAATAAGTGTCCAATACATAGTAAATATTCTAATTCATAAAAATGTAGAAAAGAACAGAGCAGTTTTCAGATGTTTCTTAAAGCTGAGTCCATTTTTCAAATTAAATTTCATGAAAAACTCTTACATATAAAAACAGATGAAAATGGTATTTCTCTGGATGAAGCAGTGGTGGTGAGCCCAGAGCTCTTTGCTCTTGGCTTCCCAACTCATGGAGCACACCAGAGGCATCTGTGAAGAACTTCACCCTCACCCCACTCAGGATGCAGAAAAACAACTGACTCAAAAGTCACCTGGTTCAAGCCACAGCTCAAAGTAGGAATTCTTCCTACAACATTACAGACACAGAGTCATCCGGACTCTGAAGAAGCAATCTATTTCTGTTGCTGAACTGTGAGAAAGTTCTTTCACAGTGTGCTGAAATCCCATAGCTTCCCCCTCATTTAAACAGAAAAAAATATACTCATTCTCTTCCTCTTTCTCTTAATAGTCTCTCAAATAGCTCTATAATATATTCTCATGCTTACTAAGTGATGAGGTTCAATCAAAAAGCCATTATACTTTGAAAATATCAGGGAAAGTTCCAGAAAGGAGGCAAGCATAAAGCTAAACTTTAATAAATACAGAAAAGTGGGGAGATAGTCCAGATGAAAAGGCACTGCCTAAGTCAACATTCAGATCGACAGTGGGTTAAAAACAATGCTCCCTCCTACAAATCTACTAAAATGGTGGTAAACAAAATTAAGGTATACACCCATAAAAACAAATAGGACAGAAGAGCAGAGTGACATAAAATTTAGAAGTTGGAGACCAGACAGATCAGATACAATAACACAGTATCCCAGGAAAAGCTAAATGCCTAGAGTTGGTGAAGCCAACAGCAAAATTAGCTGGCTCACAAACCAGAAGAGCCAGGTATTTTCAGATAGAGCAAAGGGAGGAGTAATGTGACTGAGGCTGAAAGAGTACCAGCTGAAAATAAGTATAAAAAGTAAGGCAGCTCCTGGATCTCCTCCCTCCTCTAGCAGAAGACTGAAGATATGCCTCCTAAAGAGGTTAAACTAGACTTCAATATACCAGGCAAAGACAAAAAGGTAGTGCCATACATAGAATTTTACCGGGGAATTACTTAAGTTTACTGATAACTGGTTGGACTCTCTCCAACACCCTTCTCCCACTAGACTCCAAAAACACTAGCATCAAGTTTTTATCCTCCTAGAGAAGACTAGAAGGTTTCCCTATAGGAAAAACAAACCACCATCAACAATGACCAAACAAAAAACCTGAGGTATCCAAAAGAAGAGAACTTTAGAGAGTGCCATCTGGGAGTCCCATTAGAAAACAGCCAGGTCTCTCTCTAAGAATCCTTGCTTCACAAGCAGCAGCAATGTGAAAGTCAGCATTTTTAGTGCCTCACTATTAAATACAAACAAGCAACTAACAATCGCCAGATACTCAAAGCCCAAGACAAACATAACAAAAAAACTTACAGAAAAAGACACAATTAAGAAAAGAAAAGTCAACAGCAACAAAAACCCTTAAAGAACAGGATGCTTTTAGTGGAGGGAAGACATTCAGAGAACACAAAAAAACCCTTGGAAATTAAAAAATCCAACAAGAGGGTTGAAAGATAAATTTGAAAAACTCCCCCAGAAAGCAGAACAAAAAGACAAAGCTAGATAATAGGAAAGGAAAATACAGCTATAGTCAAAAAGGCACATTTTAATAAAACTTCCAGAATGAGAAAACAGAAAAGAAATCATCCAAGAAATCACATTTAAAAACTCTTCAGAACTCATGGTATAAGTTTCCAAATAGAAAGGATTCACTTGGTAACCAGTTCAGTGAAAGAAAGAAAGGAGGGGAGCAGGGGAAGGATCACACACAACAGCACATCATCATCAGGTTCTAAAACACTGGGGAAACAAGAATGGATAAAAGCTTCTGAAAGGAAAGGAAAGGATCACATGTAAAGTCAGGAATCACAATGATACTGAGGCATGCAGGAGGCAGCTGATCAATGATTCTCTCTCATCATTGATGTTTCTCTCTCCCTCTACCTCTCCCTGCCTCTCTGAAATCAATAAAAATATATTTAAAAATATTTATAGCTACACTAATAAAAGAGAAACATGCAAAATAACCATCACTCCATTACTCCACTACACCCACAAGCCACGCCCACCAGACAATCAGGAACGAGTATGCAAATTAACCCAACTAAGATGGCGACGGCCACGAAGGTGGAGTGAGCAGGAGGCTTGGGTTGCCCCTGGCAATGGAGGAAGCCAAGCTTCCCACCTGGCCTGCTACAAAGTTTCAATTATAGAAGATAAATAAATCCTAGATACCTGCTTCCAGCCCGCCCTGGCCTCTACTCAAGGAGGCGGTGGGAAAAAAAAGAAAAAGAGGAGAGGCTGGGAGCTTGGGTCGCCGGCGGGGCGTGGCCAGCCTGAAAACGGCCATCAGCCCCTCACCCAGGCTAGCCAGGCACCCCAGTGGGACCCCCCACACTGAAGGGGCTGTGGGCAGCCTGAACACGGCCCTCAGCCCCATCACCCAGGCTGGCCACACCCTCATGGGGTGAGGGTCCCCACTGGGGGGCTTGACCAGCCTGCAAACAGCCATCAGCCCCTCACCCAGGCTGGCCAGGCACCCCAGTGGGGACTTCCACCCTGAAGGCCGGCCCCCACCCGTGCACCAGGCCTCTATCCTATATAGTAAAAGGGTAATATGCAAACTGACCCTAACAGCAGAACGACTGGGAATGACTGGTCACTATGACACACACTGACCACCAAGAGGCAGATGCTCAATGCAGGAGCTGCCCCCTGGTGGTCAGTGCGTTTCCACAGGGGGAGCTCTGCTCAGCCACAAGCCAGGCTGACGGCTGCCAGCACAGCGGTGGTGGCGGGAGCCTCTCCCGCCTCCTCAGCAGCGCTAAGGATGTCCGACTGCAGCTTAGGCCTGCTCCCCACTGGCAAGTGGACATCCCCCAAGGGCTCCCGGGCTGCCAGAGGGATGTATGACTGCCAGCTTAGGCCCGTTCCCCCCAGAGAGCGGGTCTAAGCCAGCAGGTGGACATCCCCTGAGGGGTCCCAAACTGCGAGAGGGCACAGGCTGGGCTGAGGGACCCCCCCAAGTGCACAAATTTTTGTGCACCGAGCCTCTAGTATTTAATAAAAAGAGAAGTTCAGCAGTATGCTTTCAATTCAAAAGAAAAAAAGGTGGATTGTTTGATGCTTCTGTGTGTATTGAAACAATGTTTACATTAGACAAAATTAACTTCAGGGAGGAAAATAACCATAAATAACAAATAATTAAGTATAAACTTAGAAATTATGATATAACTGTTGGGAGGCTGGGAGGCGAGTTCATATGTGTATTTTGGGGAATCTATGGCTTAAGATAGCAAAATCTTTATCTTCCATCAAAGGCAGTCAACTTGCAATGTATAAAATTAAAAAACTGAGAAATAGTAGTTTTAAGCAAGTTATTTTAAGAGAACTGAAAGTGGATGTCTCTGAGAGTGGGAATGAGTAGAACAGACCTGTTTTTCTGTTATAAGCCAAGTGGAATCATTTGATTCCCATAAATATTTACATGTATTACATTGATGGCAAACTTAAAACAGTAATAATAAGATTAAAAATGATTAATTGGTGGTGGTAAAAGGATGGACTCAAGCGGACAATCAGAGAAAAAGACAATATAAAAACATGCTTATTTATCCAACAAACAAAGCATGTACTAGGCAATCCAGTACAAAAGATTTGGTGGGAGACTAAAATAATTAAGTTGAGCCCAGCCGGTGTGGCTCAGTGGTTGAGCATCCATCCATGAACCAGAAAGTGAGGGCTTGATTCCCAGTCAGGGCTCATGCCTGGGTTTCAGGCTTGATCCACAGTAGGGGGTGTATGGGAGACAGCCAATAAATAATTCTCTCTCATCATTGATATTTCTATCTCTTTCTCCCTCTTCCACTCTCTGAAATCAATAAAAACATGTTTAAAAAAATATTAAGTAGAAAAAGACCCCATGATAAAAATGTATATAATTATCTGAGACTATGTAAGGAGGAGGGAGGGAGGACCCAATACTACACTAACCTTTTTTCAGAAAACAGGAAAAGGGAAAATATTTTTATGAGGCAATGTAACCTTGACGGCAAAACTCCAAGTACATTATAAGAAAGGAAAGTTATAGAGTAATCTTTCTCATGAAGATGCAAACATCTTAAGTGAAACATTAGCATATCAAATCTAGCAATCTATACTAATAAAAGGGTAATATGCTAATTAGACCGGATAGACCAGATGTCATTGCAGACGTCCTTCCTGACAAAGTGGGGGCCCAGGTGGCGCCGCCCAGGGTCCCGGGTGCCTGCAGTCGGCCAGAGGGAGGGAAGCCTGGGTCCTGGATGTGAGGGCTGAGGTGGAGACAGTTTAGGGGCGATCAGAGAGGCAGACGAGTGGTTAGGGGCAATCAGGCAGGCAGGCAAGCAGTTAAGGGTGATCAGGCAGGCAGACAGGCAAGCGGTTAGGGGCAATCAGGCAGGCAGGCGAGTGGTTAGGAGCTATCAGGCAGGTAGGCAGAGTGGTTAGGGGCAATCAGGTAGGCAGGCAGGCGAGCGGTTAGAAGCAAGCGGTCCCAGATTGCGAGAGGGATGTCTGACTGCCCCTGAGAGGTCCTGGATTGCAAGAGAGTGCAGGCCAGGCTGAGGAACTCCACCCTCCATGGATGAATTTTGTGCACCGGGCCTCTAGTATAAATATAAAAAGGATACTATATCATGCTAAGTTTAGTTTATTTTAGCAAACTAAAAACAGAAGGGAACTTTCTTAATCTGATTTTAAAATATATACACACACACACACACACGCACACACACATATATATACACACGAGAGGCCCGGTGCACAAAAATTTGTGCACTCAGGGGGGTGGGCATCCCTCAGCCCGGCCTGTGCCCTCTCGCAGTCTGGGACCCCTTGGGAGATAATGACCTGATGGCTTAGGCCTGATCCCGGGTGGCAGAGGGCAGGCCCAATCCCTAGGTGCAGCCCCTGGTCAGGCTCAGAGCAGGGCCTATTGGGGAGTTGGGGCGCCGCCCCGTCATGCACAGAGCAGGGCGGATCGGGAGGTTGTGATGCCACCCCTAG